AGAAAGAAAGAAAGAAAGAAAGAAAGAAAGAAAGAAAGAAAGAAAGAAAGAAAGAGATTCTGATTGATGTCCATCACAGAAAGGCATGGACATGAAGTAATTCCACCACATTAAGAGACTTCAGCAACTGAATCAGCAGCCTAAAGGAGGTGGTGGCCCTCAACTGAGTTTGCAAGGAAAGCTGGGTTACTTCCTTTTAGGAATGTGCTCTAGCTCTTGATCTTCTATATCAAGCAAGGTTTGAATGGACTATTAGGCTTCCTGACAATCCTTTCTTGAATGTCACCATCTCCATTATCCAACACTTGTACCCTGTCTCTTATCTTTGTATCAAATTTTTCAGATACTCAGCCCTCTTGTTTCTTTCTTATTATCAGTTTTGCATAATTTCTCTTCCTTTGTGGAGAATGTAATTGGTTGTGTCTGTAGCATAATTTGTGATTATTATTCTCAGAAAAGAAAAATGATTATTTTGAGGTTTTTCTAGCTGGGTATTTAGCATGCCCTAATTGTTGAAACACAGTGAGATCTCAATTAATTCCATCTTAAATGGTTAAACTTTTATTTTTATCAGCTTACAGTGCTATTTGTAGCTTTGATAACACAGAAATTATCAGAGGATCTTATGAAGCATCCATTTTTGCTTCTACCTCTTGGTATTATGTGGTTATATTATTTTAAATTGCTTCAGGTTTGCAGCTTTGATGCTAACAAGAAAGTTCTAAAGACAACATACAATCCTATTTTAAAAAGGCCTGCAAAGTTTTTCTCTTCAGCAGTCATTTAATGAAGTGGAGCAGTGAGACATTCAGCATGATAAAAGGAAGTTCATCTTTAACCCTTGAAATCTGATGATACAAATTGTAAGGATGGCTCTTAACTGAAGCAGTTCAAAAAGAGTTAGAGAAGATAATGCAGTCATCTGCATCTGAATACCAATTGCTGGATGATATGGGCGGTTCTTGTGCTAATGACCTTTTTGTTTGTGGGCTTTTCACAGGGATCTGCTCAACTTCTCTAGGGATGGAGAGATTACTAAGACAGTTGTTCTGATCCTGCACAACTTCTTACCTTCTAAAAGCTCATGAAAGAAAGCCATAAGAATGTTTCAGAACTGATATCAGAGTACTTTTTACCCTGATGATGGGGGAGCAAGGAACCATCATGTACAAAACCATAGTGACATGCTAGGCACATCGGAAGCATTATTCCCAGCCTAGCTGTACTGTGACTCAGTGACCTTCCCTGAATATATGCATTTATTTCTTTACTTGGAGTTGACAGATATGGAGGTCATGAACTGACTTAAGTCTTGGCTGTGTACCTTGTATATAAATTATATGACTTCTTCAAGGAAGTATACAGAGAGAGAGAGAGAGAGAGAGAGAGAGAGAGAGAGAGAGAGAGAGAGAGAGATCAGTCTCCAGTACTGTTTTTTGATTGCCTTAGATATACTTTTAAGTAAAAATGATCTTGATGTGTCTCTCTCTATTCTTATAGGGGGTATTTTTGAATGTGTGGAATCTGGCCCAACGGGAGCAATGGGAGCAGAAGAATTGGCCTTCCGATTTGCTGTGAACACAATCAACCGAAACAGAACCCTGCTGCCAAATACTACACTAACATATGACACCCAGAAAATTAATCTCTACGATAGTTTTGAAGCATCTAAAAAAGGTATGTTTTAGAAACATTTGGAGTTTGGCTGCCAGAAGATTGGGTAGCCTAAACTTTTAACAGAAGAAACAGGCCAGCAAAGTCAGCAAATCCAGAATTCTGTTTAATGAGAGATCACACCAGGCCAGTGTGACCAAAAGACATCTCAGTACTGCACATCAGTGGTGCAAAATGCTAAGGAACAATTATTCATTTACTCTTGACAACAATCTATAGGTAGCTTGCCAAAGTTCCATTGTAAAAGGAGATGTGAGAACTGAGAAAAATGAACTTTTCTGACTCAGCAAGGTTTGTTCAGTAATGTTAACCTGTCTGACCCTTAAGATCAGCTGGAACAATGCCTTTTATGTAGATCAAGACCTTTGGAAATCATATGTGAATGAAAGAACATTTTCTGATGCAGAATTTAATATGTGGAATTTCCAACATCCCAGACTTCAGATTTGATCATCTTCTGCATTTAACTCTATTGCTGTTTAAATGATGAAGTTCTACAAGAGTAAAGAACTTGAGGTCCTTCTATTAAATGCAACTCCTAGAAAGCCCAGCCAACATTATCTGGAGTGATGGATGTCCGATGCTGTAATTCAGCAACATCTAAAGGGCCCACAGGTTCCTTTTAAACCAGACTTTAGCTCTTTCAGGGAAATGAAAAAAGTATAATTTTAAAGAATTCCTATCTCCTGTACTCCACGTGTCAAGATATTTAAAGGAATACCCAGCTTTATGGAATATTTGGGTGTGTAGAAAAACCTTCAGGCCAGAGATGGGAAATCCATTAAAAAAGTGTCCCTCCAGTCCTGCTAATGGAAGCCTCTATTTCTCATAAATGGTGCAACACTACACCCTCCATGGCTATCAAATCTATCATTATCTGCAAAGATCCAGATGATGACTTGACAACAGCAAAAAAATACACTTTGGAGATTTCAGTGTGTCATTCTGGAATCCTAAATCTAGAGATTGTCGAAATTTTTGCAAATGACCAGCAGCAAGGTGGTTAGACTCGGTTACAGTAGCAATGGATGCACCATTGGAAGAGCTGAAGGACCAGGTTAGGGATAGATAATCATGGAGAAAAATCTGTGTGGTCTCTAGGAGTCAACAATGGCATGCAACCATCATCATCAATAGCACTACATAAGCCTATATAGCTGAACACCCCCCCCCCCCCCCGCTTTTGGTACCTTCAAGTCAGTCTTGACTCCTGGTAACTGTCTGGACAAGTCCATGCAGTTTTCTTGGCAAGATTTTTCAGAAGTGGTTTGCCATTGCATCTTTCCTAGAGCTGAGAGAGAGTGACTGGCTCAGCTGGCTCTGTGTCTAAGGCAGGACTAGAACTCAGAGTCTCCTGATTTCTAGCCTGATGCCTTAACCACTACACCAAACTGGCTGTCTTAACACTAATTAGATAATAATCAAATATAAGCCTTCTTCCTCCCACCCTCCCTCCCTCCCTCTGAAGAGTTAAAAATTAGCTCTTGTTCTTTGTTTAGCGTGAATTGTTTCTCTTTTTTTTCAGCTTGTGATCAGCTCTCACTCGGAGTAGCAGCTATCTTTGGGCCTTCCCATAGCTCTTCGGCAAATGCAGTGCAATCCATCTGCAATGCACTGGGGGTTCCACATATACAGACCCGCTGGAAGCATCAGGTTTCAGACAACAAAGACTCATTTTATGTCAGTCTTTATCCAGATTTTTCTTCCCTCAGTCGTGCCATCCTTGACCTTGTGCAATTCTTCAAGTGGAAAACTGTCACAGTTGTTTATGATGACAGCACAGGTAAGCACAACTCTGGTACTTACATTTGTGGATGCCTTTAATACAGTATGTATAATCCTTCAATCAACTGAAGAATTGTAGCTTAGTACATGTGGTCAGTTAGCCTGAAACTATAGTGAGATGTTGCAAACTATAACATCTAAAGGTTTTGCATATATTCATTCTACACAGAAATCTATCATTAAATGTAGCACGTTCTGTATATTTAATCTGCATCCGGAGAGAACAGGAGAAGGAACTTCTGTCCATACAAGTGTTTATCTAGGCATCTTAACTGAAGGAAAACATGAAAATTTCATGAGAGCTATCTTTTGGTATTTCAGCTGAAAAACAAATCAGGGAGAATTTGTATGTACTAGTGTCTCTTTTATAAACCACTTTGTGAACCCAGTTGTCAACATTTTATTGAAAATTTTATCGTTTTAAACCTGCAATACATTTTTATAAAGGCTATAAGCAAACAGGTTCTGACATGCTTATCCATTGTATTGGGAGTAGGGATCAGGGGAGGGACCTCAAAATATTCAGTCAACACAAGGAGTTCCAGTATGGGCACACACTTTTCCATTGGCTACGTACTGCCATTGACATAACTCCCTGTGTTAAATATGAATGTAAATGTAACTCTGACCATGAAAGCCAAGCTTCATCCATAGAGTTCAGTTTGGCTTGAAAAAAATCTCAGGTTGATACTGGAGAAACCAAGTTGAGTCCTTAGCATATCCATATATGAGAAAGACTCCTGGCTAGGAATTAGCAGACCCTGCTTAAATATCTGCTTGTGGGGAAAGATTTCTGATGTGGCAAATGTTCGTACCATAAGTGCAGTTGTATCTGCAGGGGTGGGCAAGTGCTTAAATGTGCATCATGACATTGCAACACAAACTCCATCCTGTTGGTTCTTGTGTGAAATGTTGGGCTACAAGTATGAAAGAATGGAGCTTGTGTTGTGTTAGCCTTGCAAGGTAGTCCAGACAAGAAGCACAACCAGGAGTACCAGCTCTATCTTTATTGTAAGGTTACATTAACAGCATCTTGCAAGTCTGAAAGTACCCCTCTCATCCCTTGCTTTTAATCTCCCAAAAACCTTGGCACCCCTCCTCCTTCATATTCAAATTTTGTTTATCAGACCATTGTCTAGGCTGTGGCTCTTCCTCCTGTCTCCCAAGGTCATTCCTACATACCATTACATGTTGTGATGTCATGATGCATGTTTCATCATTTTGGCATTTTGTAGCTAGGAATAGAAGCCTATGCATTAGTGTTGTCATAGAAGAGAGTGTGGATATCATGGAAACTTTGGGTAACTGATCTTCTCAAAATAAGTATGTTCCTGTTTATTTACATGCCAATATTTCTTCTGAAGCTTACTTAGGGACATTGTACATAGGTATAAGTGTTCACTATATCCCAGGGATTACTATATTGCTTGATTAGCTGGGAAGTGTTTGATCCTGTAACTCCTGATGAAGTGGACAGGACTGCTAATCTAGCTGCCTGTTTGTTAGATCCTTGTCTTTCTGCCTGGTGAAGGCTATTTGGGAGGTGACATGTAATTGGGTCCATGTAGTGGTATCTACCCTCAAAGATGGGGTGGTTCCCATAAAATGTGGTTCACCCCCTCCTTAAAAAGCCATTGCTGGGCCCAACCATCCTGGAAATTTTTGGCCAGTTTCCAATCTCCCTTTTGGGGAAAGGTTGTAGGGAAGGTGGTTGGGCCACAGTTACAGAGGGCCCTGGAGGAAATGCATTACCTGAATCTTCTTCAGTCAGTTTTCAGGATGGGACTGAATGTAGGAAATATGAAGACAACATTGGTTGAGCTTATGGATGAGCTGTAGTGGGTCTGGGATGGGGGTGATGTATCCATCCTGGTCTTCCTTGATCTATCAGTGGCTCTTGATACCATCAACCATGGTATCCTTCTGAACCAGTTGTCGTGAATAGCGACTGGGGGCATGGGGTTGTGTTGGTTCTCCTTTTTTCCCTGCAGCTGGTTCCAGGTGGTGTTGGTGGGGAGATGACAAGAAATCTGTACCTTGAAAGATCAGCCAGGGCTCAACATTCTCACCATTCCTATCTACAAGAGGCCAGTGGGGGAGGTCATTCATCAGTTTGGGGTCAAGTATCATTAGTATGTGAATGATACTCAGTTATATATCTTGGCTCCTGGCCACCCATGTGATGCTGTCAAGATCTTGTCCCAGTTTCTAGAACCTGTTGGAATCTAGATGGGGAGGAACAGGCTGAGGTTCAACCACAGTAAGACTGATTGGTTGTGAGTGTTTGGACCTCCTGGTTCTGGGGACTTTCCATCCTTGGTCCTGAATGGAATGGTACTCCCTCATTTGGGATTAGTGTATAGTTTGGGGGTTTATCTGGTCTCTCCTTTCCTGGTTGAGGAGCAGGTTGCAGCTATAGCCAGGACAACCTGTCTACAAATCTAACTTGTGTACCAATTATGTCCATTTCTGGATTGACAAGCCTTCCTCACAGTCTTGATCACCTCATGAGTGAACAGTTGTAACACACTTTATATGTGGTTGCCCTTGAAGACCATGCACAAGTTACAACTGGTCCAGAATTAAACAGCATGAGCAGTGATGGGCAGGCCTCACCATGTCCATATGTAATGCCTCTGCTTCGTGAGTTATCTGGTTACCAGTAAGCTTCCAGATACAATTAACGGAGCTGTCTATTACCTATAAAGTCCTTCGTGGCGTAGGGCCTAGTTATCTGAGGGACTGTCTGCTGTCCACAGTATCGGCCCATCCTGTACAAAGCAAGATGGTTTACTTTAGATTTCATCACTTAAGCAACATCATCTACAGGTAGTTGATATTAGATGCTGGTCTTGTCTATTGTGGTGCCTGCCCTGTGGAACAACATCCCCTCAAAACTCATTTGGTTCCCACCTTACCTCCCTTCAATGTCCCCTGAAAATATGGCTCTTCCTTCAGGCCTTGGGCTAGGGTGAATGGCAGCACCGTCTAGGTTGGGGGTGATGTTGGAGAGTTTTGTTTTTTTTTAATTGTTCATTCGAGGCATTTTAAAAAAATATATACATTATACTGTTACATCTGTTTTTAACATTGTGAAGCCACTCAGAATCATTTCTGGAGTTGGGTGACATACAAATTGGATGAATAAATAAATAAATCCTAATTAAAATGAGCCTGACAACCACTGATGTTATAATTTTTTGGCACATTTCTAGGTAGTACATGCATACACACACCCATATAGTGAATTTCTTGGAAAGATCCCTATGGCCAAATCTTCAGTTGTTTAATCAGTTAACAAAGCTTACATATCATATCTTATATTAACACTGTATTATAAATGCTTTATAGGAAACAGATTGTTATAAACAATTTATGGATCTGAGCATGGCACAAACCTGCACAGTTATAAAGTGCTCTGTAGTCTGAGGTGCAATATAAATAATTAATAATATTAAATAATCTGATTTATGAGCGTTTTTTATTTCATGTTAACCGCATAAGAACCTGTTATGGGAGCGATAAACTATAGTTATAACAAAGGGTCTTTATCTGTTGTGCTATTTCATTTTTAATGAGTGTCTTGACTAACACACTATTCATCAACTCTCTGAAAATGAGATCTTACTATCAGGGGGAACTGGCTGTATCAGTGATGTTGTGCATAAGATCTGAAAAGATATTTCAAGAATATTGGCTCTGCAGGCAAGGAAAGCTTGTGGTATTTTGCTCATCAACAGTTTTTGTATCTGTATTCCAGGCTGATATTTTCAACAGCAGATGTTGGCAATAACAGAAATTCTATCTCTAAGAATGATTTTGTAAATCTTTATGGATCAATTGGGTGCTCAGTCATGAATAATTACACTTAGCTATTCTTTTTTGTGGTTTTGCCAGATACAGATACAGATTGTGTTCTGAAGGAATATCATAGGTAGGGTATCCAAATTCTTGGCAGAATGGTCTTAAATCATTCCCCCGCTCCATCTTAGTTTCCCTCATTGAGAATTAGCCAGGCAAAACATTTGAGCTAAGACTCAAATTCTCATTGCTATAACTGTTAAATACCCATAGCCGTGCTCATTGCAGAAGTTTTTGTGACCATCCTAAAAAATGCTTGTTTGTCCTTAAATGTAACACAATGATAGGAAATCTATGAAAGCAAATATTAGCTACAGTCCAATTCAGACATATGGTTGCTTAATTCCACTGAAATCAAAATTGAATGATGACCAATTACAGCTTTTGGTTGAATTCTTCTTTCTTCATCTAATGCAAAGTAAAACCAAAGGCAGTTCATAATTGGCTGTTTTTATTTCTCCCTTCTTTCCTCCCTGTAATCGCTACTGATCTTCATAAACTTTCTGGGGTCTGGTCTGATTGCAGATCTTGCCCTCATACACAACTTTCTGTCCTTCCTTTCTCTTATGGAATTCCTCCAGTTATGAGCATGAGATCCTTTTTCTTAAAAGTGATAAGTATTTGGCTTCCTTGTAAATTTTCCATTCATTCATGAATCATCGCATCTTCAAAAAAAAAAAAAAAAAAGTAAAGGAACATACAGAGAAAGATTCTACTTTGACAGTACTCTTGGATCCTTATTTTTTTCTTTTTTTAACAATATTTTTATTGAAGTTTTACATCGATAAAAGTTAATACAGAACTAAAAAAAAGATATACAAATAAAAAAGAAAAAGAGAGAGAAAGAAAGAAAGAGAGAAAAGAAAAGGAAAAAAGACATATAAAAAGTATGTTCTCTAGTATTACAGAAAAAAACAACAACTCTTCTTCCCATTTCTCATCCCTTAACAATAGCCAAATTATATAAAAAAAATAATCAATCTTATACAGCAAAAGCATTAAGAGAACCAGTAGTAATAACCTATACATTTTAACGTTAGACAAGTAAGCCCATTTTGTGTTTTGACTTATAACTTTCTCTAATAAGTAAAACATAAAAGGTTTATCCTCATAGGCATAAAAAATACCAATAACAGT